GTCCGCTTTTGAATCTGTTTGAGTTCAGGGCTGATGCTAATCCTCCACAACGTGCAGTTGTTTATTCCGCGGCAAATCCCACGGGTGGAGAGGGATGCCAGCAGCTGAGCACGTTGCTAGAGTAAAACATGAGGTCGCTGCTGCCCCCCCTGCGGGCTCGATCTGGCACTGGCATGAACAGCCGCCCTTGGAAGCTGGTTGATGCTAGTACCCGACTTCTCCGTCTGAACACTGAATTTTGACGTAGTTTGTACATGTAATGTCAAATATAACAGTTGGCTTTCTGCTGCCTGGTTGCTACTGCTGGAGAAGAAGGAGGAAATACAGACTGCACATAGCTGATGCAACAGTCAAGCCCACCAGGTATAAATAGCAGCTCAATATACACCACCTGGTAATTCCCAGGGTACCCAGAGACTGGGGCTAAGAGCTTCTGAACGTAAAACCAGAGAAACCAAAGGGAAGGCACACGAGTTGCCAGGCAGGAATCAAGAACAGTGCATTACAGTACCGCTCCAAGATCTAATCAGGAACAGGTTCCATTGTCACAGATACAGATCTGCTTACTTCAGCATTTCACAACATGAGACCTGTATGTCAAACTAGTCCAAAGCAGCCTGAGGCAAAAGAACAGGGATGAGCAACAGAAGCATCTCAGGATGACCCTGGGTCTGCTACAGACTTCATTTTCTTTGCTTGTCGTCAGTAGTGTCTCCAGCTCAGTCCCTTAAAGGCTTCCTCCAAGTGCAGACGCTTGTTCCTACAGGGCTGATGACTCGGAAAGAATCACAAAGGATCAAGTTGTACATAGTTTTTCTGGAAATGTACTTTGGCTCAGAGTACAGCTCCTGAGCATGAAATTCCAACTGCAAGTGTTCTGATGGCTCCCTCCACCCTCAACTACAGGTAAAATACTGCAGTGGGGGTGTACATGGTCACTCACCTCCTTGGAAACTGCAAAAGAAGTCAATTAGTTGTCAAGAAAGGCCAATCTTTGAATACCAGATCCTAAATTCACTGGCATTTAGTTATTGCAAAGATTCAAGTATCATGTCGGAAGTGATAGCCATAGGGATAAGCGAATGTCTTCACAAACTCAAACCAGTCCTGTAGCTTCAGATAACATCATTTGAGAACCAAGTGGGACAAGTGAACTGCTGAAATGATGGGCTGTCATGAGCAACCAAAGCTTCTACAGGCTAAGCAGAGCAGTTAAGCCCTGAGGTAACATTACCAGTTGGCATATAATTCATTCTACACAGGACACATAGGGTTATTTTTTCGTCAAAAAAAAATAGCTATGAGGGATTCTAAGTCCTGCTGCTGTGCGTCCCATAGGTGAAACCAGGTCATCTATGGCCTGTGCTGGAGAGACCATGACGCCACGAATAGAACCCAGAGGAGTTACAGGCCACATTCCCGGTATAGCAAAATACTGAGGAACATAACTGGACTTTTGTCATGCAGCTCTACAGCTAGTGAACACTGGAGAGCATTGTGACACTGGTATTTAGACCTTTCTAGATAACTGTGCTATCAATAATTTAAAATGAATTGCAAAGCCACTACTGAGTATCTCACATCATAAATATTTTAGTTACTTGCTTCAAAACTAAGACATTTTATAAAGCCAAAATTTAAATCAGGCTCCCTGTAAAATCTCAGTTATGCCTCAGGCCAAAGACAACAGAATCGAAACTCTGACTAAAACCTACTTTTAATTGTGGACTAATGCAAAAGAGAGAATTTCTATGCTTGCATAGTAGTAGCGTGCCTGAACTATTTTGCATAGCTCATACTGCCTATCGAGAAAGTTGGGGTTTGGTGACCAGAGAGACCGTAACACAAGGGCTAAATGTGCAAACAAACCCACAGAGACTTAATTCAACAAAACCATCCAGTACATTGTCAAAAAAGGCAAACCCAAAACCCTGCATGCAGAAGCCAAAGCCACTTGGCAAACAAGTCTCAGTAGAAAAAGGCTCCGTTCGTGTCAGCGTCTCTGCAGTGAGACATGTGATGAGCATCAGCGGAGAGACAAAGATGAAGCACAACTGTCAGACCAGACAGACGGTATTTGGGAGCCTATGTCGGCAGAGCTGCTCCACCAACTCTGCCAAGACCTGAGATTCTGCTTTTCCTCACCTTCAGCTTGCAGATGGAAGCAAGTTACTCCCCACAGTGAGCCAGGAGGATCCACTCTGTCTCCTCCTCTTAGGAGCAACACTGCCCATGGCAGCAGATACACGGGCAAGCACTTAGAGGACCCACTGGCTGCAGAGAAGTTTTCTCAGGTCGCAGTTTAAAGGTCTCCAATAAGAATTTAATTCAACAAACCAGTTACTGCGTAGTAAATCCCCCAAGAACTACATACATGTCTTGATTGCTGCTGAACCTCAGTAAACGAGTCCTTAATCATCAGTTGGCAATTAATTATCAAACAAGAACTAATTGCAACAGATAGGTAGCCGCTTAGATTGAAGTCAGTAGTTTTACGCTAATTAAATAGAGAGGTCCATGAATTACACAAATATGTTCCAACCAACATACAGGCAGAGACGAGCACTGGGGTGGTAGGGAGAAAGAGTTATTATTTATTGGCCCAAGAAAGCACCCACAACAAGTGTAGGCTGCAGCATGACATCCTCAGCGCAGCTCCCTTGGGCCTGGCGCTGGCAGCAGAGCGCTACTCCTCCACACGTGGGGTGAGGCAGGAGAAACGGAAAGCCTTGCGCAGAGACCTCAGCACTCTCCTGAAGCGGTTCAGTCGTCGCCGTGGGGCCGCTCCTGGGTCTGGAAGAGTGGCAATGCCTGTGGGGGAAGAAGAGCTGTAGGTGAGGGACTTCCTTTGGCAACGCATTCCAGTGCCTCACCACCCTTACAGTAAAGAACATCCTCCTTAAATCCAATCTAAACTTCCCCTGTTTAAGTTTTAACCCGTTACCCCTTCTCCTATCACTACAGTCCCTAACGAAGAGTCCCTCCCCAACATCCCTATAGGCCCCCTTCAGATACTGGAAGGCTGCTATGAGGTCTCCACGCAGCCTTCTCTTCTCCAGGCTGAACAGCCCCAGCCTTCTCAACCTGCCTTCATACAGGAGGTGCCCCAACCCCCTGATCATCCTCGTGGCGCTTTCCACCAAAGGCTTGCAGCCCTCAGCCCGTGGAGGGGAGGCTGGGACACACCCGAACCCATGCACACACTGCTGCCGGCCTGGCCTGGGTGCCACCCAACTCGAGGAAGTACCTGGCTGGTTCTCGCTGTCCTGAACTACAGCAGGCGACATTGATGGTAATTCCACATGCAAGCTTTGTGCCACGTCTGGCTCTTCCACCTGCTGCTGCCTTGTTTCCTGGATGACAGCCACAGCCTTGCCCAGGTGTTTCCTCAGAAAGCGTCTGATCCTACCCTGCAGGGTAGCAAAAGCACAGGCAGGGGATGGGGGCAATGTCAGTGGGATGACACAGGGAGCACCGGAAACAGCCTTGTCACAAACCCCCTGGGAGCTGCCGTCCAAGGCCTTGGGATCCCCGGTGCCAACCACACACGCCTCACTCACCTGGCGCCGAGAGTCCCGAGACAAGGGAGAAGCTGCTGCATCTGCTCCTGGAGGAACGTGGGATGTTCCAGCCTCTGCTGCAGGAATCTCAGTCAAGGGAGGGGCCACTTCATCCTCAGGCGCTGTTGGGGAGGCAACAGCTGCGCTGGCTTCTCCCTGAGGCTCTGAAGACACAGCAGACTCAATGTCCTCAAGTGGTGCAGGCGTCAATGCTGCCACTGACACACTGAGGATTTGGGTCATGTCCTGATATTCCACCAGCTGTTGGCTGGTTTCCTGATCCACACCCTGGACCGGAGGCTCCCTTGTGATGAGCACGGCTGCTTCCTGTGGAACCCCCTCCTGTGCATTTGGACTGAGCAGGCCAAGTGCCTGGCTCTGTGCCTGTGGTGCTGCCTCCTGCTCATCAGCACCAAGGGAAGCTGGTGTCAGTGCCGCCTCCTCCTCTTGTGACACAGGAGTGAGAGGTGGGCAGTGCTCCTCTTCCTCTGCAGCTTCACCCAGTGTAGAAGCTGCCAGTTTGGTGTCCGTGGGAACGGCTGGGACAGGTGACGCTCGCTGCAAGTCCCCAGCTGCCTCTCCTGTCACATCCTTGCCCTTGCTGCTGGGGAAGCCAGTCCCCTCCTGGGTATCGGCCTGGGGGTCCTGGAAGAGCTCCGGGACGTAAGGGTTGACCCAGAGGTTGTGTATGGTGATCTCTTCCACTTGGGACAGCACTTTATCAGTGCCCTCTCCCCTCTCTTTCTCCTCCTTGGCCACTGCCACATCCAGGATTTGGGTCATGTCCCGAGGTTCCACCAACTGCTGGCTGGCTTCCTGGAACAGTCCAGTGATGTTCGTGGCCAGTTCTTCTGCAACCATCTCACGGGCATCTGGACTGAGCAGGGCAGGTACCTGCCTCTGTGCCTGTGGTGCTGCCTCCTCCTCGCCACAGACAGGAGACGCTGGTGCCGGTGCTGCCTCCTCCTCTTGTGACACAGGAGTGAGAGGTGGGCAGTGCTCCTCTTCCTCTGCAGCTACACCCAGTGTAGAAGCTGCCAGTTTGGTGTCCATGGGAACGGCTGGCACAGGAGACGTTCTCTGCAAGCCCCCAGCTGCCTCTCCTGTCACATCCATGCCCATGCTGCTGGGGAAGCCAGACCACTCCTGGATATCTGCCTGGGGGTCCTGGAAGAGCTCTGGGACATAAGGGTTGACCCAGAGGTTGTGTACGGTGAGCTCTTCCACTTCGGACAGCTCTTTGTCTATGGCCTCTTCCCACTCCTCTTCCTTTCTCTCCAACTCCTCATCATCAGCTTCCACATCCAAGGTCCCTGGCGCCACCTGTAATCACACAAGAGGGATGCAGGAGGTGAGTAGGCTTCACTTGGGTGGAGCAGTGGCTGGCCAGAGGCAGAGGTTCATCCCCCTGTCCTTTCCCTTCCTGTCCTTGGCACTCACCTGCCTGCGACTGGGCATCCGTCTGCACCGCAAGGCCGCACGAGGCCTCCGGCCCTCCTGCTGCTGGAGCTGCCTTTCCACAGAGCTGCCCAGCAGCCAAGGCAGGCTGGCTGTCCTTTGCATGTGGAGCCTGTGCCTGGTGTGGGCCATGCTGCTCCTCTGCGGCTCCTCCAGAGGCTCTGGCAGAGGGAGCAGCGGGAACCTCCCTGCCACAGATAGCTCATGCAAGACTCCTGCTTGAATCTCGTCAGTATCTCCGGTGCCAGCCATAGGTTCCTCGCTCACCAGGTGCTCAGATTCACGAGCAGAGGCAGTAGCTCCTGCATTTCCTTCGTTGGCTACTTCAGGGGCACAGTGGCATGCTCCAGCCTCTGCCACAGGCATCTCAGTCCATGAAGCTGCCACTTCCTCTTGCTGTGTTTCTGGTAAGATAATGCCTGTTTCAGCCTCTCCTTGATGGTCTCCACACACAGGAGACTCAGTGCCCCCAGTCCCCGCAGATTCCATTACTGCTGTTGCTTCATCTAAGTTTTGGGTCATGTCCTGATGTTCTGCCAGCTGCTGGCTGGTTCCCTGGACCACAGCCAGATTCATGATCAGGACCTGTTTGGTGATGCTCCTGGCCATTTCTTCTAGAATCATCTCAGAGGCGTGTGGGCTGAGCAGAGCAAGTGCCTGGCTCTGTGCCTGGGGTGCTGCCTCCTGCTCACCACAGGCAGGAGACACTGGTGCCGGTGCCACCTCCTCCTGTGCCACTGGAGTGAGAAGTGCATGGTGCTCCTCTTCCTCTGCAGCTACAGCTAATGTAGAAGCTGTCGACTCAGTGTCTGTGGGTCCGGCTGGAGTAGGAGACATGGTCTGCAGGCCTGCAGTAGCCTCTTCTGCCACATCCATGCCCACGCTGCTGGAGCAGCCAGGCCCCTCCTCGATATCCTCCTGGAGGTCCTGGAAGGGCTCTGCGACCAAAGGGTCGACCCAGAACCTGGAGGAGGTGATCTCTTCCCCTTCGCACAGCCCTTCGTCTGTGTCCTCTTCCTTCCTGTCACACTCCTCATCATCAGCTTCCTCATCCGAGGTCCCTGGCACCTGCTGTTCCAAAGGCTGCTGCTCGGCTCCGTGGACCTCAGAAGCAGCCTTCAGCAGGACCTCCCTTGTGATATGCCTGGCTGTTTCCTCTAGAACTATCTCACAGGCATCAGGGTTGAGCAAGGCAGGTGCGTGGCTCTGTGCCTGTGGTGCTTCCTCCTGCTCCAAGAGACTGGCTGTGATAGGAGACCCGCTTTGCGGGTCTCCACCCGCCTCCCCTGTTGCATCCATGCCCATGCTCCTGGGGAACTCAGACCCCTCCTCGATATAGACCTGGGGGTCCTGGAACAGCTCTGGGAGAGAGGGGTTGACCCAGAGGTTGTGTACGGTGACCTCTTCCACGTGGGACAGCACTTTTTCAGTGCTCTCTTCCCTCTCTTTCTCCTCTTTGGCCACTGCCACATCCAGGATTTGGGTCATGTCCCGAGGTTCCACCAGCTGCTGGCTGGCTTCCTGGAACAGTCCAGTGATGTTCATGGCCATTTCTAATGCAGACATCTCACAGGCATCTGGACTGAGCAAGGCAGGTACCTGCCTCTGAGCCTGTGGTGCTGCCTCCTGCTCGCCACAGACAGGAGACGCTGGTGCCAGTCCTGCCTCCTCCTCTTGTGACACAGGAGTGAGAGGTGGGCAGTGCTCCTCTTCCTCTGCAGCTACACCCAGTGTAGAAGCTGCCAGTTTGGTGTCCGTGGGAACGGCTGGCACAGGAGACGCTCTCTGCAAGTCCCCAGCTGCCTCTCCTGTCACATCTTTCCCCATGCTGCTGGGGAAGCCAGACCCCTCCTGGATATCTGCCTGAGGCTCCTGGAAGAGCTCTGGGACATAAGGGTTGACCCAGAGGCTGTGTATGGTGATCTCTTCCACTTCGGACGGCTCTTTGTCTATGGCCTCTTCCCACTCCTCCTCTTCCTTTCTCTCAAACTCTTCATCATCAGCTTCCTCATCCCAGGTCCCTGGCACCTCCTGTAACCACACAACAGGAATGCAGAAGATGACTTTACGGAGCAGTGGCTGGCCACAGGCAGAGGAAGACTCATACCCCTGTCACGTCCCACCCTGTCCTTGGCAATCACCTGCCTGTGACTGGGCATCCATCTCTGCCTGGGTGGCAAATGATGCCCCTTGCTCTCCTCATGCTGGATCTCTCTCTTCACAGAGCTACCCAGCAGGCAGCCCGCTTGGCTGGCTCTCCTTTGCATGTCGAGCCCGGGCCTGTTGTGGGCCATACTGCTCCCCTCCAGCTCCTCCAGAAGCTCTGGCACAGGGAGCAGCGGGAATCTCCCTGCCACACACACCCCGGGAGCTGCGCTCGCCTCCAGCACCTCAGGATCCCCAGTACTGGCCGCAGGCACCTCACTTACCAGGTAACGAGAGTCCCAAGCCAAGGGAGTCGACACTGCCTCTCCTTCATCGCCTGCTCCTGGTGCAAAGTAGGGTGCTCGAACCACTGCTGCAGCCTTCTGAGGCAACGAAGCTGTCATTTCACCCTCATGTGCTTTGGGGGAAACAAGGGCTGTGCTGGCCTCTCCCTGATGTTCTCCAGATGTGGAAGATGCCCTGTCTTCTTCAGCCTCATCTGCTGTTGGGATGGGAGAGGCTGTGCCGGTCTCCATATGAGACTCTGCAGCCACAGGAGACTGAGCGTCCCCAGCTGCTGCAGGTGTCAATGATTCCACTGTCACATCCAAGATGTGGGACATGTCCTGCTGTTCCAAAGGCTGCTGCTCGGCTCCGTGGACCTCAGAAACAGCCTTCAGCAGGACCTCCCTTGTGATAAGCTTGGCTGTTTCCTCTAGAACTATCTCACAGGCATCAGGGCTGAGCAAGGCAGGTGCGTGGCTCTGTGCCTGTGGTGCTTCCTCCTGCTCCAAGAGACTGGCTGTGATAGGAGACACGCTTTGCGGGTCTCCGCCCGCCTCCCCTGTTGCATCCATGCCCATGCGGCTTGGGAACTCAGACCCCTCCTCGATATCGACCTGGGGGGCCTGGAACAGCTCCGGGAGAGAGGGGTTGACCCACAGGTGGCGTACGGTGACCTCTTCCACTTGGGACAGCACTTTTTCAGTGCCCTCTTCCCTCTCTTTCTCCTCTTTGGCCACTGCCACATCCAGGATTTGGGTCATGTCCCAGGGTTCCACCAGCTGCTGGCTGGCTTCCTGGAACAGTCCAGTATTGTTCATGGCCATTTCTTCTGCAGCCATCTCACAGGCATCTGGACTGAGCAGGGCAGGTACCTGCCTCTGTGCCTGTGGTGCTGCCTCCTCCTCGCCACAGACAGGAGACGCTGGTGCCGGTGCTGCCTCCTCCTCTTGTGACACAGGAGTGAGAGGTGGGCAGTGCTCCTCTTCCTCTGCAGCTTCACCCAGTGTAGAAGCTGCCAGGTTGGTGTCCCTGGGAACGGCTGGCACAGGAGACGCTCTCTGCAAGTCCCCAGCTGCCTCTCCTGTCGCATCCTTGCCCTTGCTGCTGGGGAACTCAGACCCCTCCTGGGTATCTGCCCGGGGGTCCTGGAAGAGCTCCGGGACTGAAGGGTTGACCCAGAGGTTGCGTACGGTGACCTCTTCCACTTGGGACAGCACTTTTTCAGTGCCCTCTTCCCTCTCTTTCTCCTCTTTGGCCACTGCCACATCCCGGATTTGGCTCATGTCCTGAGGTTCCACCAGCTGCTGGCTGGTTTCCTGATCCACAGCCACAGCCTGGACCAGAGGCTGCCTTGTGATGAGCAGGGCTGCTCCCCGTGGAACCAACTCATATGTATGTGGGCTGAGCAGGGCAGGTGCCTGACTCTGCTCCTGTGGTGCTTCCTCCTGCTCACCATCGTCAGGAGAATCTCTTTCCTCTGCCTCCTCCTCGTTCACATCCCAGAACTGGTAGATTGCGCTGACACTGGATGTGTCCTGCACTTTTTCACCTCTTACTCTGACGTTGACTGGGGCAGTTGCATGGCACTGTGCTTCTGCTGCTGGAGCTTGACTGTCAAAGCCACAAGAGGCTGGGGTCTCTGCCTCCTCCTCAGCAGCATGTCTGAAAAGGACCTTCTTCAGGATCCTCTTGGGTGTAACCTCCAGATCCATGTTGTTTCCTTCGTGGCTGTGCGGGGCAGGTGCCTGGCCCTGCGCTCGTCCTGCTGCAGCCTGCCTGCCGATGCCAGGAGAGGCTGGTGCCTCTGCCTCCTCGACACCATCTCTGAAAGGGACCTTCTTTTTGATGCGCCTGGATGGGACATTCAGATCTGTGTCATTTTCTGCGGAGCTGTTCAGGGCAGGTGCCTGGCGCTGCATCTGTCCCGGTGCAGCCTGCTGGCCACACTCAGGAAAGAATGGTACTTTTGCCTCCTCTTTGGCCACATCCCTGAAGTGGCACTTCGAGACGGTGCTGCACGACACTTGCACATCTGCAACATGCACTGGGACAGAGTGCAGGGCAGGTGACTGGTGCTGGGCTTGTGCTGCAGCAGCCTGCCTGCTAAAGCCACGAGATTCTGGTGCTGCTGCCATGGGAACGAGAGGTGCCTGGTACTGCTCTTCCTCAGGAGCTCTGGCCAAGCGGCTCCTCCTGGCCTGTTGCAAAGTTGCGGGCAGAGGCTTTGCAAGAACCTTCTTGTGCAGCCCCAGCAACTTGCCATTGAGGCAGCCCTCGATGTCTGCTGCCAGCATTGCTCGCTGGCGCTCTGCCTCTCGCCCCGTCTTCCTGCTCTGGGAAGCACCAGTGCTCGCACGGGTGTTAGGATCAGGAGCAGGCTGAGTGGCAGTGGCCTTGCTGCCGTTAGCTGCCCTGACAGCGTATCTTCTTGTCATTGCAGCCCTGCCGTATGCTGGGCCCTGGCATGCCACTGCCTGCTGGCAGGGCCCCCGGCTCTCAGTGCTGTTGTTGCGCAGGACCGTGCTCACATTTCCTGTGCCCTTCGCTGTGGCGGAGGCTGTGGGCCTGCGTGGGGCAGGCTGACAGCTCCTTGGCGACGCAACAGTGATGCCATGTGCGTAGATGCGGCGCAGCTCGGCAACAGCTGGGCAAAGCTGCTTTTGGCTGTTCCTTGTGCTGCCGATGGCCACGTCACTGAAGGTGGATGTAGGGGCAGAGGGTGTCGGTGTCAGGGGAGGCAGCACGCAGCAGCTGCTGGCTGCTCTCTCTGGCCGAGGTGGCGGCTGAGGTGCCCTTTCCACCAGCAGTGGCAGACGAAGTGTCTGCTCCTCGGTCCTCATGCTGCGGGGCAGCACCACTCTGCGCCTCAGGCAGCCCTCCTGCAAGAGAAGCCAAGGAGAGGCTCTGTGATAGTGCCTCTGGCTCCCGTGTCCCAGCTGGCTGAGCTCACGCAGTTGGGCTCCCCTGCCAGCCCCATGGCAAGGCTCAGCCCCACAGGTGGGTGCTGCCTGCTCCCAGAGCTGGCTGGGGAGAGGGCTGGCCACCCGCAGCCCATGGCCACTGCCCACAGCAGCCCTGGCATGCCCGGGCAGCCTGCGGGGCACAGCATGGGGAGCTCAGCTTCCTCCCTCCTGCCCCTCCCGCCTGCCCATCAGCAGTTCCTGTGGCTGGGAAGATGTTTGGCCCTGTCTCCCTCGGGGTCCCTACCTGTGCCTCCTGGGTCACGATGGGCCGAAACCTTCTTTGGCAGGGACTCTGTGGCAGCGTGATCCCGTGCAGCCCTTCGTCAGGCTGCCTGTGGCCCACCTGCGGGCAGGAGGAGGAGAAAGAGGTGTGTGATGGAGGCGACTGCCTTGGCACAGCAGCCCCCCCAGCGCCGGCAAGCCCGGCCCCGGCCCCGAGGCAGCTCCATGTGGCCCCGCCCCACCACCGGCCTCTCACTCCTGCCCCAGCCCTCACCTGGCATCTCCTTTCCACTCCACGCCTGCCCTTGGCGGGCTGGGAGCTGGCGTTTGATCCCTTGTCCACTGGCATCTTCTGTGTCCTTGGATGCAGACTTGCCGTGGATTCACAGGGCTAATGCCACCTCTAGGGTGCTCCAGGGCCTTAAATACCCCACATAACAGTCGTAACAATGCCCCCGTGGTTTCCATGGAGATGCCTGTGCCCTCACCAGTTCCAAACGGTCCCAGCTGGTCATGGGCAACTGCACAGCAACCACTGAAGCTCTGTGACAGCAGCAGCATCGTGCCCGTGGCCACTGGGCACCCAGGGATGCACTTTTCTCCTCCCTGTTTTTTTCCTTGACAAGATGAAAAGGAAACAGAGAAAAGAAAGAGGGGTAAAAGAAGGGAAAAAAACAACCAAAATAATAAAATACTTGGTAACTGGCACTTTCTCATAAAGGTTTTCAAGCTTCGGCAAGAGATGCAAGCACGATTTTTTTGAGAATAACATGACAGAAAAGCACTTTGGAGTTTATTAAATAGTACATTTGTGGACACTTTGCCGTATCCTGGTCAGCTTTAGCAGCTCATCCAGCTGACACCAGACCTTCTCCGTTGCCTTTTCCGCTGCAGTTTGACTACGAGGACAAGTGTCGGTTTCAGCCTTACAAACGGATAAACGTGGTGTCGAGGTTGCTGGGGCCACGACACATCAGCGCTGCTGCCAGTTGGAGCTCATGGTCCTCTCCCTCTCCTCCTCATCCCACATTCATCTTAAAGCGAACATTTCTCAACCTTCCTTCACTTCTCACACCCATTAGAAGCAAAGAATCATAGAATAGTTAGGGTTGGAAAGGACCTTAAGATCATCCAGTTCCAAACCCCCTGCCGTGGACAGGGACACCTCACACTAAACCATGCCAGCCAACCTGGTCTTGAACACTGCCAGGGATGGAGCACTCACAACCTCCCTGGGCAACTCATTCCAGTGCCTCACCACCCTCACAGTAAACAGCTTTCTCCTTCTATCCAATCTAAACTTCCCCTGTTTCAGTTTTAACCCATTACCCCTTCTCCTGTCACTACAGCCCCTAATGAAGAGTCCCTCCCCAGCATCCTTAAAGGCCCCTTTCAGATACTGCAAGGCTGCTACGGAGTCCCCATGCAGCTTCTCTTCTCCAGACTGAACAGCCCCAACTTTCTCAGCCTATCTTCACACGGGAGGTGCTCCAGTCCCCTGATCATCCTCGTGGCCCTCCTCTGGACTTGTTCTAACAGTTCCATGTCCTTTTTATGTTGAGGACACCAGAACTGCGCACAATACTTCAAGTGAGGTCTCACAAGAGCAGAGTAAAGGGGCAGGATCACCTCCTTCGACCTGCTGGTCACGCTCCTTTTGATGCAGCCCAGGATACGGTTGGCTTTCTGGGCTGCAAGCGCACACTGAAGCCGGCTCATGTGCATCTTCTTATCCACCAGCACCCCCAAGTCCTTCTCTGCAGGGCTGCTCTGAATCTCTTCTCTGCCCAACCTGTAGCTGTGCCTGGGATTGCTCCGACCCAGGTGTAGGACCTTGCACTTGGCATGGTTAAACTTCATGAGGTTGGCATCAGCCCACCTCTCAAGCGTGTCAAGGTCCCTCTGGATGGCATTCCTTCCCTCCAGCGTTATCAACCGAACCACACAGCTTGGTGTCATTGGCAAACTTGCTGAGGGCGCACTCAATCCCACTGTCCATGTCACCAACAAAGGTGTTGAACAGCATCAGTCCCAGCACCGACCCCTGAGGGCGACCACTCGTTACTGGTCTCCAGCCGGACGTTGAGCCATTGACCACAACTCTTTGTGTGCGGCCATCCAGCCAGTTCTTTATCCACCGAGTGATCCACCTATCAAACTGATGTCTCTCCAAGTTAGAGACAAGGATGTCATGCGGGACAGTGTCAAAGGCTTTGCACAAGTCCGGGTAGATGACGTCAACTGCTCTACCCCTGTCCATCAGTTCCGTGGCCTGTCCTGGGTTCAGCAGTAGCAGTCATTTTTCTCCTTCTTGGTAGCTGGTGCAGTGCTGTGTTTTGACTTTCAGCCTGGGAACAGAGCTGATGACACTGATGTTTTGGTCTGGCCAAGGACTTTGTGAGCCTCATGCTCTGCCAGGGAGGAGGGGAAGCCGGCAGGAAGCAGAGACAGGACACCTGATCCAAACTGACCAAAGAGGTATTCCATACCACAGCACGTCATGCCCAGGAGGTAACTGGGAGTTACCCGGAAGGGCTAGGTACTGGCGGGTTGGAGGAGGTATCGGTCGGTGCTTGGTCAGGCTGGGGAGCGAGTCATCGGTCAGCTGGTGGTGAGGTGTTGTATTCTCTTCCCTTCTTATTTCCTTTATCATTGTTATTATTGGTGGTAGCAATAGTGATCTGTGTTATACCTTAGTTACTAAACTGGTCTTATCTCAGCCCGTGGGCGTTGCATTCTTTTGCTTCTCCTTCCCATCCCTCCAGGAGCAGGGGGAGGCCAAAAAGGGGGGGAGTGAGAGAGCGACTGTGTGATTTATGGCTGACTTTGTTTAAACCATGACATAGCCCCGTCATAGAAGGCCACCAAATTGGTCAGGCAGGATTTCCCTTTAGTGAAGCCATGCTGGCTGTCACCAAGCCCCTTGTTGTTTTTCATGTGCCTTAGCATGCCTTCCAGGAGAATCTGCTCCAAGATTTTGCCAGGCACACAGGTGAGACTGACTGGTCTGTAATTCCCTGGGTCATCCATTTTCCCCTTCTTGAAAGTGGGGGTTATATTTCCCTTTTTCCAGTCGTCAGGAACTTCACCTGACTGCCATGATTTTTCAAATATGATGGACAGTGGCTTAGCAACTTCGTTTGCCACCTGCTTCAGGACCCGTGGATGGATTTCATCAGGTCCCATGGGCTTGTATACATGTATATATCCAGTATGTAAATATTTGTCAGTAAAATCAAGGGAGAATGACTTAGCATGGATGAAAAAGCAGGTAGAAGTCAGCGTTACAGCTCTGTCTGATGCAGATAACTTACCAATCAGAACATACCCATCTCTGCACAACACAGTGTTTTTCCTCCTGAAATTAGATTATTGTGACAAAACATAGCGGGTTTTTTTTTTTGGAACAAAAGACAAACTCTTACAGAAGTAGGCTTCAAAGAACAGCTTCTGTGGGCAAGACATATGGCAAGTATGGCCAGGACTGGCCTGAATAACTTATTTAACTTATTTCACTGAACTGATATTGGCATGCTGAAGAACGACGGAAACTATGGGATTTTTCCACAGGTTCCACCATAACTCCACTGGCTCCTTTCTTGGGGAAATCAGACCTATAGGAGTCATGCTAAAAAGAACATGATTTAATCAGAATTTAGTAAGCTCGCAATAAGTAGTTCTGTGTGACATGAATGACAGGAATGCAAGAGAGCTCTCTTACATTCAATGTAAGACTCTCACTACAATCTGCAGCCCGTAATGGACAGCATATTCACGTAAATAAATGAATTTTCACTGATTTCAGTGAGCTTCAAGGGCAGCTCCCGCTAATCCCTTTTGAGAGAAGTTCCCATTTATATCTTTCAAAGGAGAGCTGAGCTCCAAATTGCTCACAGCAAATATCCACAGAAATGCTTTCCTGAAGTCTTTTTTTTAACCTAAATATCCCACATGTAAATACATAAAGACCCTTTAACCATCAAACAACAACAAAAAGTCCCCCCAAAATTCCCCTGAGTGAGACAAATCCCAGACTCACCTTACCTATTGTTTTCACCATGTAGAACTACTTTTCTTAACCTACTGCATGTTTTCAACCCTCCATATTGGCTGTGGAATATGCACTTCTATGGCAAAAGAAATGCAATATTGAACATACGTTATCCTGTTAGTACTGACTACTGGACTCAAGAACACAGATGGTGTAAGACCACATAAATGCTACAGGATTTATACCTATGTTTATACATTATATGTATATATTTATATGTAACCAAGGAATATCTGCAATCCTGGCAGCTAAGGAAAAGCCCTCAGGATTAGGTGACCTTTAAAGGTCCCTTCCAACCCAAACTACTCTATGAATCTCGACTCCAAAATCAATCTTTCCTGTCATTTTGTATTCAGTGCATGCCTTCAGAGCATGGAGAGACAATCCCATAAAAGGCCTTTGTTGTTAATTCTAAATTAGAGTTTTTAGATCTGCATCAAGCAAGGGCACTTTCTCACTGTGTGCCCTACTTTACCCTTTACCCCGAAGAATTCGCTGTGGCCAAACCAAAGTAACTTACGCAATCAATCAGAGCTGGTTAAATGTACAAGCAGTTTTACACAGAGTAACTTCTGCCTCATGCTATCAACGTAAAACACGATGGATATTTCTTTGGCTTAAGTTCATACCAGCAATTACGTTTATGAATAACACGGCGAGGATATTCTGAATAAACTAGAGACAGAATCTCTCAGCGCTCCTAAACACAGAGAAAGTTTTAGGAATCCGAAGCAAAAACTCACCTGTAGTTGCAACTGCAATGAGCCAGACTCTGAGAAGCATATACATTGTTCTATGACAGCCATGCTCATGAGGGATAGAAAGTTTGGGGCTAGAGAAATTAATTATCTAAATGAACGCAAAAGTACATCAGTGAGTAAATTGCCATCTGATCATATGAGATACTTAGTTTTTGTCCTGTACTCCTGGAATTCACACATTGCTGAGGCTGTCTTAATTTCTCACATGCTATTTTCTTCATACCCATTTTCTCTTCCACACACTGTATCGCAGAGCCCTCTAGCTGAGAAGTATAGAACTGGACAGGCCTCCCTTCAGAGCATATCAAAACCATCCCTTAATTAGCTGGTGAATGCAATTTGATTTAAGACACACAAAGTACTGGCTCTTTTTCAGGAGCTGAATGCCTTTTGCCTTCTCATACTAAATAAAGACAGCACTTCCTAGTCTGACTGGACACGCCTGCGTGTAGACACGTCCTCTTACTCAAAATCTCCTCGTAACCATGATGGCTGTTTTTATAAAGACTCAGAACACACTTGGGAAAGCACATGGTCCAACCACCCAAAGGCACAGTCTTACAGTCATGGTTACAGTAACTTGAACCTTGAAAGATTCCTGAAGAGATTTGGGAAAAAAAGAAAACCACTTTTCTTCTCCTGTTAGTCTTGCCCAGTACATTCAGGTACACATATTCTGGATATTTTCTTTCTCTTGCCTATTGTTATCTACCATTAAACTTACCTGTTGTAAATGTGACAGATTGGAAATTCACATGCAGCTGAGTTTTCTCATGCAGCTCTTTTTCTTTTAATATGGTTAAAACACATATATTAATAAATACCATGAGGCTTAACTTAGTCACACAATTGTGTTTTTGGTCCGCTTTTGAATCTGTTTGAGTTCAGGGCTGATGCTAATCCTCCACAACGTGCAGTTGTTTATTCCGCGGCAAATCCCACGGGTGGAGAGGGATGCCAGCAGCTGAGCACGTTGCTAGAGTAAAACATGAGGTCGCTGCTGCCCCCCCTGCGGGCTCGATCTGGCACTGGCATGAACAGCCGCCCTTGGAAGCTGGTTGATGCTAGT